GTAATTCCTTGCACAGTGATTTCTCAATGAAACGGGTCTAAGCCTCTGGCGCACTAAGCTTTACGAGGGCCGTGTGACTGTGAATTCCCACTTGGGAGGCTCAACTCTCGTGGTTTTCTTTCCTGATCCCGGAGCCCCTACTCACTAGCACGTCTGGTCACTCTGGCAAACCGGAACCTCCCCGCCAGTCACTTCTTGCCTTTGTAGCCCTCCATTTTGGGTAGCCAATGTCCAAGTTGCCTATCCCTGTCTACCCTGTGTATGGAGGGGGTGGGAATGGTCCTTGCTGCAAAGATGTGTTCCCTATTTTGAGCTACTGCATCCATAGATGTAGGTAAAATTCATCAAACTGTATCAGATTACTCTTTTTTTCCCTCTTCTTTCTTCTTCTAGTTGAGTTCTGATCATCCAGCCATTGAAGCCAGGTTAAGTGAGTATTATCTGCAAGTGTGGGTGTTCTTGCACATATGCCCTCACTTCTTATGAGCTGGATGCTTCACTCTCTATTCTAGGCCTCTGTGGCTATGTCACTGACTCTGGACCCAGAAGTCCCCAGGTCTTGCCACACCGCTGGCCAACCAGGTATCCTGGGTAGATCTACTTTTGATTAATCATTAACATCATAATCACTCTCTCTTGCTGGCAGCTATTGCCTCATGAACAAATGAAGAGAAATTTCTAGACAACTACTTTTGTTTTAACTGAGTAAAGAGAAAAAATGAAACAAAAAACAAAAGACAGAGATTGCAAACACCCTGCCAAAATCCAGGCCCTGGTAAAGCTAAGGATAGGCTGCTCATGCAAACCCCGCTAATCTGCCCATAAAAGTGTTTGTGGTGAGTCAGCAGAAAGGGGCTAATCCCCAGAAGTGGCTGATCCTGAAGCTGGAGAGCCCACACAGCCACAAAACACTGTTTAGAGAAAGGTCACAGTAGGAACGGGAGAAGGACTTGATTAACTGAGAGGTCACCTTGCCTTCTTGTGAGGTGTGGCTCATTCATATAGCTCAGACAGGGCCCAGAAATCACGATGAGTTCAAGAGTACAGAAGTTAAGGGCCGTAGCCAGCTTGGCAGTGGGGGTTGTATGCCATTGAGTCAGTTTTGACTCACAATGACCCTGTATAGGGTTTCTGAGTCTCTAAATCTTTCTCCCATAGAGCCACTGGTGGATTCGAACAGCTGAACTTGTAGTTAGCAGTTCAAAACGTAACCCGCTATGCCACTAGGGCCCCTTGTCAGCTGGCCTAGGACTCCAATTATGAGGTAGAAGATGGAGGTAGGGATACTAGGATATATTAAGTGAGGCAATCTGCTATTACTGATTCTGTAATAGCCAATGAACCAGCTGATATAAAAATCTTACTGCAACAGATGCTGGGGTGAATGATCTCTAGATGCAGGAATCCATACAAAAGGAGCCTTTATTTGGGCTTGGGGCGGGCCAGCCTCGGGACCAGAGGACATCACGAGTACAGGTCCCGGATGGTGAGCACAGAGCGCTTCCAGCTGTCCTTCCAACGCTGAGCTTCCTTCATTTGCAATGTGCTGTCATTCTGGATCTTCTTCATCTCCTCCTCAAACAAGGCCATACATTTCTGGGAGCAAGGAAGCAAGAAGGGGCCTCATAAGAAGGGACGAATAGCACTATGACTGGCTGGCAGGGACCTCTGAACCTGTTCCAGGCCTCCAGCAAAACCTTCCCAAGTCATTTCTCATGAAATCCTCTCAACTGATCAGGCAAGCCCAGCTATTGCCCCTGGTTTTGCAAATGGGGAAATTGAAGCTCTGGGGCATGCTTGGGGCATGCATGGACTAGCTGTTAGTTATCATAGAGTCGATTCTGACTCATGAAGTCCCCATGTATGAAAATATAACTGCACTCCCCACGGCTTTCAAGGCTGTGAATGTTTGAAAGCAGATGCCAAGATACCTTGGGGTGGGTTTGAACCACCAGTCTTCTGGCTACTAGTCCAGCCCTTAACCATAAGCAGCGATTAGAACCCCTGCCTATCTGCCCTTGGACTCCACCCTGTTGACTCAGGAGTCTTGGGTTCCTCTGAAGGCTGCTCCCTCCAGGCTGGGTGAACTCACTGAACTGGGCAGCAGAATTAGCCCCTCACTCTGGACTGGCAAGGTTTCTAAGCACCAGAACTGTGAACCACAGAACTTTAGAGCTGAACTGTTTCTCATGCAGTATTTGAGTGCAGCCTCCTCGTCAGGGTTTCCCACTGAGGTCCACTAGGCTCTGGGTTGAAATTCTAACACTGCTACTGTATCAAGGCATTAAAGACAGAAAGTTTCTTTAAGCCTCAGTTTGCTCCTCAGTGAAATGGAGCTAATAATCTGTTCTCCTTCATGTTGTTGGGAGGATTTAATGAATTAACTCATGTCAAGACTAGAGACCCTAAATAAGTACTCATATCTGTTAGTTGTCACTGCTGCTGCAGCGCCTCTGGGAACCCACTCTCCCCACAGCTTCTTGCTTCTGCCTGGCATGCCTGCCTAACTGGGCTGAACTGCTTCCCCGGAAAGCCTTTCTTCAGCCTGCATCCTGGGTGGGGTGTCCCCCAGCTCATGCCTCAGACTCACAGGATCGGCACTGGAACTCAGTGGGACCCTGAGGCTCACATCCTTATGCCTGTGAATATCAACTGCCCTGGGTATTGAAGCTCTGGGGAGGCCCTGACCTGTGACCACTGGTTCACAGGTGAAATGTGAGGGTATCCACTATCAGGAGAGAACTCTCTGCCTCCTTCCTAAGGCAGCTGGATCTGGGGAAATGCTGCCAAGCTGAGCTGTCATGGGCTCCCTGAGACACCCCACCCCACTCCCATTGTCTCTGTTCACCAGATAAACAGCATCTCGGGCTTCCACGGCCGCCAAGTGGCCCAGGGTTGTTTTGGTGGTGGTAGTGGATGTCCTTTTCCGGAGGAGAATCTTATTTTGGATGGTGAATTCAGTGGGTTTAATTCCTGGCCACTTCCTACAAACAAGGAAAACATCCCAAGGGCCTGGTTCATCACTCACAGGCCACCACCAATCCTGGTGGCAAAGTTCTACATTTATTGTCAACAATACCATGACTTTACACATCTTTAATAAAAGAAAAACCCACTGAACATTTGTCCTCTGCTTCTTCACATCCTCTGCTCTGTATTTCCAAACCACACTAATCAGCACATATAGACAGTCTGGGTTCTGGGTGGGAACAGAGCAGCTGTCCTCTGGAGTTAGCCAGAGGCACTGCTTTCTGGGCCTCAGCTTCCTCATTTGTAAAATGGGCATGATGACAGGACCTTTCTTATGGATGAAGTTGTGCCAAATGCCCACCATTGTACCTGGCACACAGGGGAAGGGCGTTGTGACCATCCTTGGTGTTACCACCAACCTTCTATAGCCTCCATAGGCCTCTTGCTGCTAAGACCACACTCTCCTATTTGGCTCCAAGGATGTTCTGCCAGCCAACAGTGATGGTCACAAGCCCCGGGCCACTTTCTTCCAGTGCTGTAAATGCCGCTGCCAAGAGCAGCAGTGGGCAACTTACTGCTTTGCTGCTGCTTCCAGAGCCCTGGGACACACAGGACAGGCATGTAGATCCTTCTTGTCACACATGACTAGCAGCTAGAGGTGTCCAAATCGCCACTATGGACCTCAGAATGTTCCTCCCACAAAGACTTATCTTGGGTTCTTATCAAATGAACTAACAGCTAGCTGTTACGTTCCATGTAAGTGCCAGGGGCACTCCAGGTCCAATCTCATTCTACTTTCTCTTCCTAATACCATGGAAGGCAGGCTGCAATTCCCATTGCACAGATGAGGAAACTGAGGCTCAGAAGGTAGCACTTTCTCAAGATCACCAGACCTGCCTGATCCTTACTGGGCACTGTCTCCTAGCAAGCAAATCACATACTTTCATAGTATTCCTCACTATCCTCTGCTCTCACCTGCTCCCCCGTTCAATAAGGGGCTTTTCTTGCTCTTCCTCCAGGGAGTGCCCGGTGAGTTTCCTCCTTATGAGGATGGATGTTTTCTGTTTGGGAGGCTCCATCTCTGGGGAGGCAAGAAACAATCTATTGATTGTGGCCTCATCCGATAGCCCCAGATCCAGCGGACTTCTATGTGGTTGTAATCTGAGGGAAATGAGGGCTCTCCTCTATCCTTCCCACTCAGAGGACGGCTGTGTCACTTACTCGCAACCTGGACATCATCGATGGTGACCACTTCATCCAACTGCAGCAGGAATTTCTCAGTGAAGTCGGCCAAGTCAGTTATGAAGGACTGACCATATTTCCTGGTGAATTCCTGTAGGGAAGATGGTGAGCACAAAGCTGCAGGAGAGGAATTTCCCTCAGCAGGCAGGCTGAGGAAGGGGCTGGGTGTTCTCTGGAGGGAGGGCTTGTGGAGTCAGCTGGTGAGGCAAGACCAAAGCCACTGTGCCAACTGTGTTCCGGTCCACCTGGCACCTGGGCGTCAGCTAGGAGGCAGCTCCCAAGAGGTGATGTGGGGCGATGATAAGAAACGGCCCAGCAATGGTCATGAGAATCACGTGGCCATTGCCCAGGCACGGAAATAAAGCAGTTGTGGATCTTGAAATAAAAAATGTTCTCCTCATTCTGTAAACCTAAAACTGCTCTTAAAAGCACATTTTAAAAAAAGTTTTCCTCATTAGTAATTTGTAATTAATTCAGAAACCACAGAAAGGCAAGTTTAAAGCAGTCACTAATGGCCCTTTTCCGCTATAAAAGCGTACCTGTTGCAGGCCCCCTTCCAGGACTAAGACTCAATGGGAATACACGCTCTGATTGGTCACTACACTCGTCGCCAAAAGGGGAAGTGAGGGAGGAGCAGTAATGAGGCGGTGAGCTAAGCCCTACAATGTTCAATAGACTTCTGTGAACCCGGATGAAGACCTGGTTGGTCAGCAGTGTGGCAAGACCTGGGGACTCTTGGGCCCAGAGTCAGTGACATAGCCACAGAGAACTAGAGTGGGGAGTGAAGTGTCCAGCTGATAAGAAGAGAGGGCATATGCATAAGAACACCCACACTTGCAGATAATACCCACTTGACTTGGCTTCAATGACTGGATGACCAGAGCTCAACCGGAAGAAGAAAGAAGAGGGAAAACAGCGTAATCTGATATAATTTGATGAACTTGACCTACACCTATGGATGCAGTAGCTCAAAAGAGGGAATAAATCCTTACAGCAAGGATCATTCCCACCCCCTCCATACACAGAGTAGACAGGGATAAGCAACTTGGACATTGGCTACCCAAAATGGGGGGGGCCACAAAGGCAAGAAGTGACTGGCTTACAAGCTTTCAAGAGGGAAGCTAGATTCATAGGGCATGGAGGAAGGTAGAATCTCCACTGAGTAGTATACAACCTGTCTGGCCTGGGCTGATGAAAAGAAATCTAGATGGATCTTTTGTGACACAATAGTGAATAATTGTTATCTGGACTGCTTGTGAGGGTTGGAATTGTAAAGGAAGACGTTTTTTAGCAAGGAGGGGAGTGATTAACTTTTCAGCTTAAGAGGGGCGATCCCTGGGACCATCAAGGGAGAAGAGCAGAGAGC